GATGCTGTGTGATCCCATCGTCCATTATTCATGCTACCAATACTTGTCCAAGTACCTGTTGATGGATCATACAATTCAGCACTGTTTAAATTACTATCACGATTAAATCCACCAGTAACTAATACTTTTCCATTTGTTAATACAGATGCTGTGTGATAATTCCGTGCATTAATCATGTTACTAATAGTTGTCCACGTGTCTGTTAATGGATCGTACAGTTCAGCACTACTTAAAAAATTGCTACTATCAGCTCCACCAGTAACTAATACTTTTCCATTTGATAACACAGATGCTGTGTGACTAGCTCGTGCAGTAGCCATGTTACTAATAGTTGTCCAAGTACCTGCTGATGGATCATACAACTCAACACTATTTAAAACAGTATACCCAAAATTGACTTGTCCACCAGCAACTAATACTTTTCCATTTGATAAGATAGATGACGTATGAGAATATCGTGCATAAGTCATATTACCAGTAGAAAGCCATCCTATAATTTACATTTCTATATATTTAAACAATACAATATTACTTAGGGTGATCCCAAAGTTCCCGGAACTGCACTGTATCTATTTAGGGAAACGACATTCTACCCATCTCTCTACACCATATATTCGAGTTAGTTGTTGTGATATTCCATTGAAAGTTTCATTCTTTCAACTCACTCTTCAGATATCCTTTAGAACTAATTATTATGAGAATGCATCTTATTCCGCGATGTTGAACATTGGAGGAATCAGTTCCGCACCGGAATCGATTCCGTCCAATTCCGGGAACTCAATCGACACACAACATAAGACACCCAGTCGAGATTGATCGAGTGCGACCGATTCCGGAATTGCACAGAATTCCTACCGATTCCGGAACTGCGGGAATTGGTTCCGATTCCGGAATTCCGTATCGGAATCACACCATCCACCTCACCCACATTTGTTGTGTTGTGTTGATAAGTTATCCCGTTTGGATACGATCTAATTCCGTTACGGAATTCCGGGAATTGCATCAGGACGGAATTGAGTGAAATTGGACGGAATTCCTATCGATTCCCACCAATTCCGGAATTGGGCGGAACTCGATCAATTTCCGAGTGGGTATCGCATATTATGTGCCGATCAAGTTCCCGGAATTGAACGGAATCGATTCCGGAGCGGAACTGGTTCCTGAAATGTTCAACATTGCGGAATAGGATGACTGCTCATTATTATGTATTGAATTTATCTTCTTTATTATCCCTTGAATTTGGATACTTTTTTGAACCGTCAAAAACTTGAAAACGCTTCTTAGCGGTGAACAGATTTCATGTGATACAGTTAGTATATATTAGACTAATATGTATTATCAAAATATTGGATGAAAATTATTGTTAAAACTTGAGTCAACAAGAGAAGTTAGTCCTCGAACCGACATTTATTGTGGATAACGACCAAAACAATGATATAGGTTACCTTCTTAGTGACTTTCGAATCATGATCTGTCGTCTAGTAGTTTCTATAGTGGATAGCAGTCCTATCTATATTAGTCATAGATGTTTAAATTTATAAATAAAAAAAAAATTATCAAACAAAAACGTACCGGCATGGTTTTTTTCAACAACTTGTAAGATGATGTGATTATTAACTACAGAGTCAGAGGAATGAAGTTAAACTTTGCCGAACGTGTTCACCTTAGACTAGACTTCCGTACTCTTTGCTGTTCAAATATATTCAGCATAGTCTGGATAAACGGCAGCTACAACAATATAGTAGAGGCCATAAGGAAGGAGGTATATTGAATACCTAGTATTTACTTCGAAAAGGTATTTGAAGAGTAAGTTAAAAGGATGAAACTTTCAATGGAATATCACAACAACTAACTCGAATATATGGTGTAGAGAGATGGGTAGAGTGTGGTTTCCCTAAACAGATACAGTGTAGTTTCGGGAACTTTTGGATCGCCCTAAGTAGATCGTCACACTTTCAACATTCATCATTAGGGATGGTGCGTTAACATTGCATTATTTAAGACTTAATGCTAATACTTTTGTATTAAAATTAGTCTTAAGGGTGGGTGTGAGTGTAGCAGTGGCGGATCTAGGATTTTGGAAGGGGGGGGGGCGATTTTGGCTAAAAGCTATTTTTTGAGTCCAATTGAGGTAGTGTAAACCTATTTTTTCGTTCATTTTTGCTGTGAAAAATCGAAAAAAATTTCGGAAGGGGGGGGGGGCGATCGCCCCCCCCCTAAATCCGCCACTGGAGTGTAGATAAGGGATTACAACACACTAGTTATCCACACCCACAGGATACTAGTCTCTATAAAACAGAGAAGTTTTTAGTTTTTCTACTCATTCCCACTATCTATCTGTAAGATCTATCGTTCGCGACTGAACTCTACACTATTTTGAAAAACTCTAATTGAATGTACAAAAAGAGGTCACTGTACAGCGACTTAAAATATACTATATGAGTAAATTGTTTTCTGTGTTAAAAAGCATACACCAAAATTCATTCCGAACATCCGTCATTTAATATTTCGGACATCCTGTATTTTTTCGTTCCGAACATCAGTAAAACGATTTTATGTTCTATTTTCGATTTCGAACATCCAATTGAGGGTGTGGGTGTTCAAGTAGTCACATAAAGGAAACACCCACACCCTCAGTGAATCTTTCAAAATTATTCTATAGAACGCATAATGAATGGCTTTTGATTACACACGATTAAACTATTTTAAGTAATATTGATAAAGGGTATCTGTTAGAGTTCACATTCATGTTATTGGTATATACATATGATAGCTTACACTCATCGATGTAGCTAAGAAAATGTTTTTAGCCTACATTTAATTCACAGTGAAATTGGTAAAAGTCTACTGTACTTTCGTCAATTGGTAAAATTATAGGAGTTATATTGGTAAAAGTCGCACTGGCGAAATTTTAGAATCTACTAGTTTCAAAAAAATCATACCGCGTGTACTTGCTGTTGATAATGATGTTGACGTTGTTGTTGTTGTTGTTGATGATGTTGATATCTCCATTGTTGATGATTTTTCTTTTTCAGTTCTCGTCAATAGAACAGCAGTTGTTACGACAACTGTAATTATAACAATACAAATCATGAAAACTATTATGCAAATTAATCTTTGCTTTCCAAAATGTTCGTGTCTAGAATAAAAGATTTTTTTGATGATTTATTTTTATTCACAATATATACATACAATCTTCTTGATGGTGCTCTGCTAGAATTAATTACTGCCGACTAAAATATTCAAAATAAAATAAAATAATTTTCTCTCTATTTAATACATTACTTTATCAAGTTCAGCTCTGTTACTCATATTCACAGTTGTTTTTCCAGTCAAACTTGAATGCTTTTATAATCTAAAATCGACAAAAAACACTCTTTTGCCTTTCCAGATTGTTGATGAATATTGATATAAGTATAGAAAAAAAAATAAATTAACTAATTGAATATGTTTTTCTCAATATTTATGAGATTTGATGTTATATCAATTCATTAATTTAAACCAAAATAAAAAACAAGTTTTGATTCATTCTTACTCGAGATGATCAAATCTAACTTCAAAATGATATATATTCCTTACTTATCGTCAATTATATAGAAATTATTTTGTATCCCAATATATCGTATTTAACATCTTCAGCAGGCGATTCAGTTTTTTTTAGAAAACTTTCCGAGATATTCATTTTGATGAACACTTTACTTCTAAAAACAGTACATTTAATAACATCTTCATAACTTTCGTTCGACTATTTATAATTCTCTTCTTTGCATTGCTACATAATAAATCATTTTTGTAATCATTACTCAGTCATCTCATCATTTCAAGCGAAACAAGTGAAATAACTGTTGATGACAGAAAATTAATCTTCGCTTTTCTGCCAAAATTGATTCACCTTCACAAATACTCTGCTGCTAAATTTGATCTGAAATGATTATAGAAAAAAACAAATAAAACTGGAATAGTTATTAGAAATGCTTTTTACCTTTAATAGTCTTTGGTGGACATATTTGTTTATTTGCCATAGGTAATGGATAGCATATTGGTTGACCACATCGTGTACTATTCACACAGATTGTACTCTCGATTGAACAAGTTACATTATCTATATTACATCGTACAACACTTGCACAAGAGAAACTAGTTGAAGCACATATTCCTATATTCAGATTGGATGTTAATATAGTTGAGTTAACTAAGAAATAAATAATAAGAAAATAAAATTCATTGTTTATGATTACTTAGTTGTAGTTGTTCTGATGTGTTGCTATCATCGAAGACGAATAAAAAAGTATATAACATGTAGAACTTGAGAATTAATACTTACACTAAAAGTAGCACGTAGAATAAAAGTATGAAGGTTGAACTCAAAATTATTGCCATTATGAGATACAATAATATGAATTATTAAGTAAAAAATATCTTTCTTTTATAACTTCTCGTGACGTTTGTTATATAATCGTTGTGAAATAATCGAACGATAGCCAACCAAATTTATAGTTACAAACTAAAACAATTTTTTTTGGTAATCATAAAATTCACTTTCTTGCAGTTTTTATATTCATCGACTAAAATTTCAAGTATGTTTTTGAAAAGAAAAAAAATATTACTTAAAAATCTCAACTTTACTGAATTATTTATTTGATAAGTGAAAAAAGAAAAGAAAATGAGAGCAAACAAAACATGCTACTTCCTTTTTAACAAAAAAAAACATCGCCTATGGCAGTTAGTTTTAACAAAAAGGTTTGACTAAAAAGAAAACTGTACAGCTTGAAATTTTTAACTCATATTTATTTATTGATGTGGCATGAGTTTAGATGATGAAATTATATTTGTCTATCATCTCTACACATTCAAAAAAAGTAATCTAAGTTAAAAGTACAGTTTCAATACTAATTGATATACACAGGACTGTGGATGTAAAATGATATAACAACTTTCTCTCACACCTATACCCAAAACTGATGCAGTATTTATAAATTTGTTCTATGTTTTATCCGTTAATCTCTAACGCTTGTCGAAGTGGTGATTTGAACCAACTACGCATGATCGAGTGTTAAATCTCTATTTTCATATTGATTTATTGGTACAGTGTTCATCTCATTAAATTCAACTTTTATAAGTTCAATATTGATACATTTCGGATGGGTGTGGGTATGGACGTTTTATTAACCATACACTCTCACCTATACCCTCATTATATTGTTGTTCACTGCGAGATGAATCACGAATTTGTTTTTTTCTATTCTTCTTGTTTCTAACAAAAAATTCATTCTTTACTTTTCATAACGCGTCTGTTTATATAGAAAATGGCTTCTACTGTTACTGTCACATCTGAGGGTGTGGGGTGGGTGTGGGTGTGGGTGTACAAAGCGAATACACCCGCACCCTCAAGATGGTACAATAAACGTTTCTAATGACAGTAACACACATGTATTATGTTCGTCAAATTACGAAATTTTGAGTCCAATCTAGAAGTAAAGAAAGAAAAACTATGAGTCATACAGGTACTTGTTGTGTTTCTGGTTCTAAATGACGAAAGCTTTCGCAATAGCCCACTTATTTTCAACATGATATCAAATAGAATTATGACAAAAAGAAAGAAATGAAGCTCCCGAGTGGATTCGAACCACCTATCTTCCGGTTAACAGCCGGATGCATTTGCCGCTTTTGCTACAGGAGCACATTAAATATTGTATCAAAACAAGTTTTTGTTTTTATCATGAATATAGTATCTCTTAGAATAATTATTTCACAATTTGTATTGTGAAGATTTAATAGTTTAGGAGAAAGAATATTCGAATGAAATGAAAACTCTTGTGAATAGAGATTATTAGATATTTCTGACTCAGCATGAAAATGTTTGACTTAATATTCAACCACACTTTCAAACAACGTGAAGGCATGAATAAGGCCATGTATGAAGATGATCAAAGGCAAGCAATTCAGGCTCTTATATACCCTATAATATCATAGACAAATCTAATTCTTAATGTTAATAAGAGTGCGCTGTGAATTGAAAAACACGGTGAATATAATATTAAGGGTGTGGGTGGGTATGGTGTAAAGATAATATCTACACCCACACCCTCAAGATGGCAATGTAGCCAATCGAATATTCTAAGGCCAAATTTACTTCATTCATCGCGCTATATGTAATTGCAAAATGATTATATGTTGCTAATATATCTGAATGTTCAGATGGCAAACTCGCTTGCTGAATATGCAAAGCTGTATTTAAATTTGTTAATGCTTCAGAATATATTTTTTTCTCCAGTAAACGAAGGTGTGGGGTGAGTATGGCTATATTAACATTGGTATGTACACCCATACCCTAGCTACACTCGTAACATGCCTATGATATCTGAAATATATCATTTTAATATTGACTGTTTGATTTTGTTAAGTTTATTAAAATATGACAAAATGATTTTAACACTGTTAAGAGAAAATGTCAATCTGTCATTCAAAGCATATATAGTTAATGTTATAAAAGAGAAACATCTGTCTATAATATATTTATCAGTTAATAATCAATCCATTTTGATCCAATGCGTTTCTGACAGATTAAATATATTGATAAATTCATATGAGCATTTCAAAGTATAAAACAGATGAAATCGAACAGAAACTATTCAGCTATCATGAACAAATAAAAATGTCTACTGAATGTGAAAAGCAATTCACTGGATAGGAATCTTGAACATAATTTGAACCGCATTTCTATTAGACATCTTTGAAATATTTACCATTATATTTCATTTATGACAAAATCATTCATAAAAACGATTCAACAACTATTTGATGAGCAAAATATTTAAATTACTTTTCAAAATTATATTGATGACATTGCGACGAATTGTTTTGCAAAGAGATTTCTTATTGCAGTAATAATGAACCACTGACTTCCTTTCACATTGGATAGTACAATTCAACAAGCAACAAAATGCTAATTTCTATTTATCTGATATATTTTACTATTACAATTTGTCATACGAATATTCGGTACAATCTATATAATAACGATAAATCAGATGGTCAAAACTCTCTTCAATATGATTGTTTATATTACGTTGCGTTCGACGAATCAATATTTGAATTGATTCCGTATTGTATACGACCAGTACTAGAATCATCAAAAATGACTTTGATCAATGTACTAAACGGCAATCAATATTCTTTTGAAGAGCTTCGAAAAAGAAGTACAACAATTGAAGAGTTATATAGTTGGTCTGCTTCAATCGATCTTGCCGAGAGATATGCTGTTTATCTCGAACAAGAAGCAAATTCTACTTTACACAATCAGGTATTCTACAAGTGCTCTATTAATCACTTCGGAAGCTATTGTCAATATACATTTGATATGTGGTTACCATTTAACAAAATTGTAAATTTGACGTTCGCATGGAAACTCAGCATATATTCTACTGCTCTCGACAGTACGAACCTAACATGTTATATGCATTTGAAATGTTACCGAGGCCCAGAACCATCTTGCCTCGATTGGCGTGAAATATGCGATGGAAAAATTGATTGTCTTGATGGAAATGCTGATGAAGAGAATTGTTATCTACTTGAAATTAACGAATGTGGAAAGGATGAATATCGCTGTCGATTGGGAATGTGCATATCATCTGAATTTTTCTCCGATGATCCTTTTAACCCAGAATGTCTTGATGGAACAGACGAGTAACCAATAAAAACTAATAACCCATTTCTTACTATTGCGTCCTGCCTAAAAACTCCGACTTTTACATGCGAAGAGCGTACATGTCGCTCACCACTATTTTCATGCGGCGATGGTGCATGTCACAATATTAAGATACCAAATAGTGAAGAAGAGTGTTTTAGTCAGCGTGATCTTCTTTTAAGCGCAGTGTTTCTTTCGAATATCGACAATCATAATACGTCAATGCTGGAATGTCAATTAGCCATGGCTTGTTTGATTTTTGGCGATAATTTAAAAGTAATGCCGAATCGTACTGAATGTTTTCGCATTTGTTATCGCCAGTCCTGCATTGATCAAATTCAAAATAAATGTCTACCATTGTTCCTCTTTCCAATCGAACCGATATTGTACGGACACATTAAATTCATGTACAATACAAGTAGCATAGTTTCTACAGGTATGGCAATTCCATATTACGTTTGTTATAATGAAAGTTTATGTCCTATTATATTTCCAAACACGATCAGGATTCTTGGCTCACTATGCAGGTCTGTGTTTTATCAAGGCTATTCACAAACATGGTCTCAGTTCATAACAAGCGCCAACAATTATTTTCATTCATGTGAAACTAAATATCAACAAAACTTTTGCGAACATTCGAATTTGTTTAGGTGTAAAGATTCATCGAAATGTATATCATTTCATCGACTACTTGATGGTGTAAGAGACTGTGCTAATTCGAGCGATGAGAAGAACAACGACAGTTGTTTACTCAATGATTCCTGGCGATTTAAATGTCCCAGTGAAGATCGGTGTATCTCACCGCTATTGATACGCAATGGAGAAAAAAATTGTGCCAATGAAGAGGACGAAATGACACTGTCAAATTTTGACCAAACACAGCAAGTCCATTTTCCAACTATCTGCGATGGTTTTACTGACTCTTTACCAATAAACTTAAGTAATAATGAAACGGAAACAGATGAGACTAATTGTGAACACTGGTCATGTTCTAACATATACACTCGCTGTGATAATATATGGAATTGTCGAAATGGAGAAGATGAATTGAACTGTCAACCAACGAAATGTAATTCTAGGGAACATTTATGTCTTTCTTCTAATTCTAGTGAAACTTTCTGTCTTCCTGTTGAACAAGCTGGTGACGGCATTGTTGATTGTCGCGGAGCAATGGATGAAAGACATTTGTGTCGTTTAGGGTATCCTACTAGTCCAATGAAACGATATCGATGCTGGAATAGTAATACGTGTATTTTAGTCACCAGTTTCTGTACTGTCGATGACTTATGTCCATTGGATGATAATATGATAGATTGCAGCTCTGTTTTTGCATGTTCTTTTCAATTTGCTCCTCTTACAGAAGCCGAAGAACTTGTTTGTAATCTTGATGAATCTCGCAAGGTAACGAAGTTATATTTTCGTCTTGGAAAATCGAGCGATCATTTATTAATAAGTGATTCTCATTTGACAAGAGACATTCACTCTGACCCATCTTTGAATCGTCAAACTAATATCGGAATCAATTATCATCTTGTATGGTATTGTAATCGTGGTATTCTCGTTCAAATAGATAGCCGTGCGGAGAAAAAATGTTTGTGTCCACCAAGTTATTATGGTAATCGATGTGAATTTCAAAGCGAACGTATCAGTCTAACAATTCAATTCAAACGATCCATTGCTGCTGAGTGGAATACTATTTTCAATATTCTTTGTCTTCTGATTGATTTAAAAACAAATGAAATAATTACCTATGAGCAATTCAGTTACATATCATCTAGGGATTGTGGAACTAAATTTAATATTTATCTCTTATATGATCAACAACCGAAGATAAACTCAAGAAATTATTCTGTTCGCATCGATGTTTATGAAAGAATTCATTTGGATTATCGCGCGAGTTGGTTATTTTCTGTTCCTTTCTATTTTCTGCCTGTCAATCGACTTGCTTTTCAACTAAGTATACCAAATAGACGACTCATTGTGATGACCTGTTCCATCAGTTGTATTCACGGTGAATGTGTCACCTATGTAAACGATAATAATACACATTTCTGCCGCTGCTATCAAGGTTGGTCAGGATTGAAATGTTCGATCAGACATCATTGTGATTGTTCATCACTTTCACTTTGTATTGGTTCAGTTAAAAATACATCGATCTGTATTTGTTCGGTGAACAAATTTGGTCCACGTTGTTATATTCCGTCGTTTTTATGTAATTGTAAAAATGGTGGTACGTGTATACCGAATGATGAGCGTTTATCCGATTCAAAATTTCGATGTATTTGTCCCGAAGGTTTTGCTGGTGATCGATGTGAACAACTTCAAACACGCATTATTATTGCATTTCATAATGATATATTAATTCCGTCACATATATTTGTTCATCTAGTGACTGTTGGTCATAGGACAGATCCAATTTTTACAACGATACTTCAAAGAATTCCACTTGACTGGAATAATATTAACATATTTACATCGATAATATTTCATCTAAGTATTCTTGAATTTGATGAAAAGTATTATCTTATTTTCTTAGATAATGAATTAAACACTGTAAGAAATATTTCAAAAGTGGTGACATCATCGGATCGATGTCCACATGTTACGGAATTATTTAATTCATCTATTCTCGATTTCCCACTGATTCGAAGTATTAAATACTATTATATTCCGTGTCGAGACAAACTTGATCTTTCTTGTTTTTACGACGACAGACAAATGTGTTTGTGTACTAAAGAACGACATGCGAACTGTATGGATTTTATCAATGATACAAAGTTTGATTGTCAAGGTTATAATGATTGTGAAAATGGTGGACATTGTTTTCAAGATCATTCAAAATGTCCACCAAAGGCAATTTGTTCATGTGCGGATTGTTATTTTGGAAGAAAATGTTCGTTAACCACAAGAGGCTATGGTTTTGCTATCGATCCAATATTGGCTTATCAAATTCGACCTAATTCTGCCTTAAGAGATCAATCGTTTGCCGTTCATACAAGTATTGCAATTACAATAATTATTTTTTTTGTTGGTATAATTGGTAATTTATTGTCATTAATAACATTCAAAGAAAAGATAGTACGTGACACAGGTTGTGGTTGTTATCTTCTCGCATCGTCGATCATCTCTTTGTTAACTGTAATCACATTTACTCTGAAGTTCTGCTTCTTTTACTTTAGTCATATGCGAATCATTACTAATCAGTCTATACTGTATGCTGGATGTCTTATCCTTGAATTTTTTCTAAAATGTATTCCCGTTATGGGAGATTGGCTCAACGGATGTGTCTCTATTGATCGCACTTTTGCTGTTTTGCTTGGAATCAGTTTTAGCAAAGAAAAAAGTCGATATAATAGTAAGTTGATAATTATTGGATTGATAATATTCAATATATGCATTTTCTTACATGATCCTATCCATCGGCAATTGCTTGATGACAGCGAAGAAAAAAGAATCTGGTGTATCGTTCAATATCATAGTTTAAGGGTGTGGGTGTGGGTGTGGGTGTGGGTGAGGGTGTGGGTGTGGGTGTGGGTGTGGGTGTGGGTGTGGGTGTGGGTG